GAGAGAGAGAGAGAGAGAGAGAGAGAGAGAAGCAATATACTTTTGTTTAAGACAAGGTTGCAGTCTTTTCTTTAAAATACATAGAGATGCAGCTTGGCAGTTAAATATGCTCCATGGGAGATAACAAGTGAGAGAGAGATGAGTCCCATTTTAAGCAATTTATCGTGCATTCTTACTTCTAGGTACGTCGGTCCACGAATATAATTGCAGTCAACTGCTTTCCCTAATAAACAGGGTGTACTACCAACGCTTTGCCGCACAATCCATGACCCCTGTGCAATCAAACTGACGGCATGAGACACATAAAAAAACATTGGGTGCCAGTGAAAACAAGTTATTTATCCAAAATTCAGAGATAAACCATGATGATGATGATGAAAAATAATAACAATAATAATAATAATAATAATAATAATAATAATAATAATAAGAACAACAAGAACAACAACAAACAACAACAACAACAACAACAACAACAACAACAACAACAATAATAATAATAATAATAATAATAATAATAATAATAATAATAATAATAATAATAATAATAATAATAATAATAAACAAAATGGAACAGACCTTGGGTACAGATGGGATGAGTTTCAGTCTACTGTTACGAAATTCATCATCACCATCAACAAAGCGCTGCAGGAGTGAACCAGGCACTAATTCCTTTGTTACAAAATAGAAAACCATACTGTAATGTGTTGATCCTGGCACCTGTAGATCACTATTTTAAGTTACCAATACACTAAACAAAAAAAAAACTCTACACGTGTGTCATGTCTATATGTGTAACATCAACAGCCAACGTTGTTTCAGTGCTTCACAGCTAGAATGACATGAAACACTACTAGGTTTTGACTCATTGAAGTTGATCAAAAGACAATAGCAAACATGCAGCAGCAGCAGCACACACAAACATGCATGCAGCAGCATGAAACGCAAAGCCATACCACGAGTCACTAGAATGTGCCTATCTCACCAATCTCACAATCACAGAAAAGAAGTGTCTTAGAAAGCACACAACCATACATGAACGCGTCGCATGTGTGCATGCACACGTGCACACACACACAGCAATCTGAACCTATGTTTATGGATCAAATATGGTTACATATTGGCCCTCAAACAAAACTTTGCCAAGTTGCAAGAGGTTAGTGCCTTAGTGGCAGCAGAAATAATCATCATCATCATGCAGGCCTTCATGGATACACCGAATAGGCAAGGTGAATGTAACCAATACCCACAAGTTCTTAGTCCATAGTGAAAAAGTAGAGCAAGTAAGAAGAATAAATTTATAACCAACTCACTTGCAAATTAACAGCCAATGAGAACAATCCCTTCTCCGAGGCAACCTACATGAGCAACGAGAAGTCAATAAATGACACAAATCATGGCAATCATTAGAAGAAACCCACATGACCACCTCATCATTCCAGAAGTGTCAACACAAATTATAGCAATCCTTAGAAGAAATGTCCTAACCATAGTGCTGCATGTTTTGATACTTAATTATCAAATATCAACAACTAAAATGTTGATCATTCAAAAGAAAAGATCTCGCTTAAAGGCAACAAACCTAGGTTTGAGCTGGAATATTAAATATGAAGAAGAAAGAGGTTATTGATGAATTACTTGTACTGCACAGCCTTTACGCCTTGCAACATGGTCCATTCGCTTAATATCCTTAAACCAGTCAAGTGCCACAAGCTCCATCAGGGGCTTTCCAGCAGGAATCTGTGTATAAGAAAATCAATTCCCCAAATATTACAATTACTATTCTTCTGTAAGTTATTAATTCATTATTTTGATAAATGCAAGATAACATTTTTTTTATTAGCTCTTCTTTCTAGCCCAAATAATATTTTTTGATGATGCATTCGAAAACCGCTAATTATTTCTAAAAATGGGTAGGGGAATTCCCCACTGATCTACCCAAAAAAAAAAAAACAAAGTTATCTTCTCATTGCCACCCAATTATGAATGTTTCATGTAGCAGGAAAGTAATAAAAACTCAAAAAAATGTTTTTTGTTTATTTTTACTTCAATCTTTGAAATGAAGCATGAAAGAGTGCCCGACCAAAGCATAAGGATAAACTTGTTTTTCTGATAAAAGTAAGATTGGGCAAGCAATAAACGTAATAAAAACTCAATCATGCTAACCCAATTATGGATGTTCCAAGGAGCAGGAAAGTCAGAGAAACTCAAAAGAAAAGAATGCCTTTTCTGTTTATTTTTACTTTAATTTTTGACAAAAAGCACGAAAGAGCAACAAGGAAAACCATATGGACAACAACCTTGCTTTTGTCAAATGGAAAGTGTTTGCTTCGGACACGGAAGTTATTCCCCTCAGAGATTCTCCAACAGTCGCGACTATTGTCCCGATCATCTCGCTTCAGTGTCCCAGAAAAACATGATAAATCAATTTGGTTTGTTGCTTCCTCCTCTATGACTTTGCTTTCATGAAGAATTTCATAATCAGATGCTTCCTTATATTCAAAGATAAGGTTTAAGTGCTCATAACATGCATCAGAAATAGAGAACAAGGCAGATTGCCAACCTGTGCGTTTTTCTTCAGTTTCAGGTCTTACAGAGTAGGCCTGCAAGGTAAAAATAATTTGTAAAAACTGAAAAGGCACTCAAGTGTACCAAGATAACACAATGATGGGAGAGGGAATACAAATTGGACTCTCTCCATAATCTAGGACATGGACACACATGTAAGTGTGTCCTAACTGGTACAATGATACACAAAAATCTTTTGAGAGTGAGATGCATAAAAATTATATTAATAGATGTGCATACAAAAATAGAATGACATCTACACATGCATATATATAAATAGTATAAATGAGCTATGGTATTTAAGGTAACGTAAAAAAGCCAATTGTACTTTTATTGTATCTTACATATATCATATCGTACAATTTGACATGGATGTTGTAATATTTCAAATTATATTTTAGATACATTAAACAACATATTTTGTGGTAGATATACAATAAATTTAAAATACTTCAGTATCGTCCATTATTAAATAGGAAAAGTATATAATAAGACCACTTACTTTTGGTACAAGGAGGCCACAATCAAACTTGTCATTAGATGTAAAATCTGACGATAGGGGTAGTGTCATTGACCAAGTTCAAGTCTAAAAGAAATTTTTCGAACTTTGTCATATACCCCAAGCTAATGAATTTCACATTTGACGACTAGAGGTGGTTGTGACCTCCTTGTATCAAAGGTAAATAGTCTCAAAGTATCCAATCCCTATTATATATTTCGGTCATGTTTCTACTTTTACAATTCTAATATTTTGCAATTTTCAGTGTTTGTTATTTTGGATTTTACTTGTTATGCAGACTATCAGTGCAGACCTCTTGATCGGGAATCTGCAATTCTTCATCATCCTCAGATTCTTCATCTAGCAATGCTGTATTTCCACCAGTTGTTGGAGTTTGATCCAGTAATAGACTGGATCGGACAGAGGACTGCCGACCTTTTTGACCTCTCTTGGATGATACAGAATCCTGAGCCATATTGGCCATCACATGGATGCGTGGCCCTGCATGACTTCCATCCCTTTGAGAAAACCATTCCCGCAACCCTGCAATAAATAACAAGGTGAGATCCATATAGTCTCTGTGTATTTGTAGATAGAGATGATCAGAAAATGCACAAATGGAATTATTATGAAACTATCATTAATGAAATCACCAAACAAATAAGTGAAAGGATATCATTTTCACAGATACTGTTTAATAATGGAGTAAAATGGAAGCAGAGAGCAAGCAAACAAGTAACATAAAAGATGCCTTCTTTTCTTTTTGAAGTGACATGAAGCAGAGCAAGCAAAACATTTCAATCATAAAGGCCCACAACCAGATACTTAAGAAACACAGGATGAAAACAAAATATCATCAGAAACATCTTAAACATCAAGAGAAAGCAGCCTATTCATTTTTATTTAAAAATAAACCAAATATAAAAGCATAATCATAAACCTAAAATGGCAAAATAAATATAAGGCAATAAATAATGCCCATTGATATACAAACATAGCGGATGATCTGAAACGACTTGGCCAGGGCTTGATGGGTAGGATCAGTGATTGAAAATTTACCAATTTGACTCAGAATAGAACAAATCAGATTGGGAACCAGGGGGCTCATTCAGGAGGGCCACGAACCAGAGACTCGCCCCGGTTTCCACCAAATCGCCCAGTTCATTGCATTGAACATGGCTATTTCTTAAAAAGACACGGGCAATTCCAAAGTCCCTTCCAATTTCTTAGAAATTGCCCAAGTCCAACCTATTACACCCTTTTCGGTCTTTCGGTCCCCCCCTTACCCCCTCCCACCCCCCGAAAAAAAAAAAACAGACTTAAAAACTCCACCTGGGGTTCATGTGGTGCACCATTGTCAGCCCAAAACAATTAATAAATTGTTTGCTAATGCAATAATTAGGTCTCATGTTTCTCTCTACATCTCCCTAGGCCTTTCATATTTCCTTGTGTTTCGTTTGACACAAGAGAGAGAGAGAGTGTGTGTGTGTGCATGAGAGAGAGAGATAGAGAGAGTTTATGCTCCTGGTTTTGCAGAGATGGACGCCAAATTAGTAGAAGCTTCTCAGCAATATGAACGCTTCAAGGCTGCATCTACAATAACAATCTCCATATTCGTTGATATCCTCTCCCAGCTAAAGGTCAACCCTAGTTATCCGGTATCCCCTTGCTTCCCTCTTTTCCCACAATATCTTCTTTTAAATTTTTTCTTTCTTTTTTAAAGACTCGTATGCATATTCTAAATGATTTTCTGTTTTGGGAGAGAAGTAGGAGCAAGAAAGTTGCGTAAGATGCACCATGAGACATACGAGCAAGAGATTTGCCAAAGAATGTCCTTACAAACTCTGTTAGGATTTTTCTTTCATAACTTTTTTCATCATTTTAAAACCAATGAGCTGACAAGGATCCCCAGGTGCCCGAATTGGCAGCCAATTCCTTGCTTTGAAACACTTGGCAGGATTGATGAACTTAGGGTTTAAGTACAATATATGGTGGGTGGTAGGGTTTAAGTGAGGTTGTGACTGGAAGCTTCATAATGATAGGGATCGCCCAACCTATGTGTCGATACCGCATCCCATTGCAGTGCTCCCAGATAGGGATTTCCATGGGATCACAATCCCCACTTTTTATGGATGTGCCTAGCCACTCAAAGGCCAACAAGAGCCAAGAAGATGATTAATTTGGATCTTAGTTGCAATACTCTCCCTATCCCTAATGCTCTTGGATGTGGTAAGTGTAAAATTGCAAATAAAGCAGCGTCTTATGTTTTTGGATATTATGAAGTGCGAAATCAGAAATAAATCATATTTTAATCAATAGAAAATCAGATCCCTTGTATAGTAATTAGTTGTCCTGTTGTGCCCCATCATGATATTCTTTTTATTGTATTTTGGGATCATTGTTACATGAACTACATCTCAAAGAAATATAAAAACATTATTTGCTATTTAAAAATTTAATTAACTATAAAACATTATTTACTATTTAAAATTTTAATTAACAAATAATTAGTTCTTTATTCCATTTTTGTGTTCCCATTTTTATTGTATTTTATATTTTGGAATAAAATTTCTATTTGTTTTAAAAATTATTTATAAATTTGGGAAATTACTTTTTTGTGTTATTTAAAAATTGGCCCGCATTTTTTAATTTTCCGGTCATGTTCCTTTTTATGTATTCTTTTAATTTTTCCAAAATACCCCTAGTTTGGAACTTTGAGTTCCAAACAAGTGTCTTTCTTTTCTTTTTTTTGTTTCTCTTCTAAGTGACTTATCGTTTCGGAACCTCAAGTTCCCAACTGACTTTTTTGAAATTAAGCACTTCAAATATTCAAGTTCCAAACCGCGTACTCACGTTAAAAAATGACTTCCCTAGTTCGACACTTGAAATTTCAATCCAAGGACACTCATGTATTTTTTGAATGAGACCAATTTGGGACTTGAAATTCCAAACCATTTATTCACTCATAAAAAATACACAGGTGTCCACAAATTCTGAACTAGGGACATTAGTCTATTTTTTTGAGTGAATAAGTGGTTCAAAACTTCCCACCCTTGTTTGATTAATTTTCAAAAAAAAATTGGTTTGACACTTAATTTCTAAAAAAAAGGTAGGTTATCAACTTTAACTTCTAAATCGATGTCACTTGCAAAAAAAAAGACATTGGTTTGAACTTAGAGTTCCATACCAAGGGTATTTTGGAAAAAAATGAAAAAAGGACGAGCATAAAATTTGAAAAATCAGGGACATTTTTCAAACATGTAAAAATTAAGGGATGTTAACATTAATTTCCCTAGTAATTTAAAAATTATATGGAATGCGCTACCGACCTAGGGAGCTTCCTGCATGTGTCGGTCTATCACTTCCACGCCCACACCTGCCCCTACCCCTGCTCTGGGTCCAAGTAACCATGGATGCTTAGGTTAGCATTGATTTCTGGAGAGGATGTGCATAAATATTGCATAAAAGGTTCAGGACCATGGTGGAACCATGAAAGTATGGAGATGGATTAGGGTTGGAATGGATGGATGGAGAAGGATGGGTCAGGGCTATGGATAAGGCATATGCATAGCTAACACAGGAAAGAGACACCACAAAGGGTGTGGATGGTAGAAAGAGAGGGGGATAATGGTGGGAGATGATGACCAGACATGAGAGAGAGAGAGAGAGAGAGAGAGAGAGAGAGAGAGAGACAATA